GAACCAGGATAGAAAGCTTCAAGCCCCGCACCTACGATGCACTTCCTCCAGCAAGGTTCAAGGCCTTCCGCTGTGAAGTGAAGTACCCACTCCAGCAAGGTGGCAGCTTCTAAAGGTTCCATAACCTTTCTAAAATGCTTCAACAGCTGGTGACCAAGTATTTAAACATATGAGCTTATGACATGCATTCTACATTCAAACTATAGCAAGAACTTTTAATATTTTTCCCACACCTGAAATTTTATTTAGAGGAAATTTCTCACTGATGAAATGCCATTTAAGTGGGAAGACATGTATGGAATTGTCCAAAGGCCAGGGAAGTTAGTCAACATTTAGGGACTAAGGATGTACTACACTCTAGTTGGTAACGTGCTTGCCTGGTATGCACAAGGCCTTCCGGTAGTATGTAAACCAGGTATGGTGATGCTGCCCCAGGGAGCGCAGCAGAGGGATCAGGAGGAAAGCCTTAGCTACAGAGTGAGTTTGAGGCCAGCCTAGGTGACATGAGACGCTGTGGGGGAGAGGATATAAAGGGAGAGGAAGAGAGATGTGGGAAGTTAAAATGGTGGGAAATAGGAGCTCAGAGATCCAGAGCACTGTTGCTGTTGCAGAAGGCCAGGGTTCAATTCCAAAAACTCACATAGGGCTCTCAGTCGGCCGTAACTCTAGTTCTGGGTGATCTACTGCCATCTTCAGGCCTCTACAAAAATCATGCAAAGCACCTATACGCATAAAACAAAATCATAATTTTTAAAATTTTAATGTGAAGTAGAAGTCATAGTCATTTCTATTCTACAGCTGAAAGTTCAGATAGGGAATAAACTACTAAGCCCATTGTCCACCTGCATGAGCCTAGACGGTGAATAGACAACTCTAGAACACCCGCATATAGACAAACATGTGGTGTTTTCTCAGAGATGAAAAAGATTATATTTTATAGTCCTCTCCTCTTTGCTTTCTGACTATGGATACGTGACCAGGTGCCACATACTCTATCCGCCATAATGGACTATGTCCCTTCAACAGTGAGTCCAAATCAACACTTCCCTTAAAAAGAGAGAGGTTATAGTTGAAAGCCTTGTTTTGCAGACAGTGGTCATCCCATGACAGAAACCTGTACCGCTTCCACATCCTCACAGACACAGCAGAAAGACGGCCACTTAACGGCAGTCAATGCTCATGGAGCAGGTGTGTTCGTGAGACATTTGTCCCAGAAAGAGGACAGAGGAGGGAACCAGGAAACAGCATCATAATGGGTTAGTGCCAGTCTGTGCATTAGCTGAAATCTGAGAGAATATCTGTACTCACTATAGCTTTTCTTCCCAAGGCCGTTGAGAATGAGGAAGAGACATACATGGATCTAATCTCCATGGGAAATAGAAAAAGACAAAGTCTCCTGAGTAAACTAGGAGCAAGGGGATCATGGACGAGGGTAGAGGAGAAGAAGGAGGAAGGGAGAGGAACGGAGAAGAATATATAGCTTAATAAAAACAATTTAAAAAGAAAAGAAAATGAGGAAAAGAGAGGTGGTGATGCAGGCCTTTAATCACAGTACTTGGGAGGCAGAGACAGGCAAGGCTATGCAGAGAAACCCTGTCTCAAAAAAAGAAGGAAGGGAGGGAGGGAGAAAAAAAAAGAAAGAAAATGAAGAAGAAGAAAGAGGAAGTGTTCACATGAATTCACATGAATTTTTTTTCTCTTTTTTTCCTCCATGCCTGTCATTTTCTGATGTGGCCAGATGTTAGAATTCAAATACCAAAAACATTCCTTGGTAACCAGAAAGTTTACCTATTTGCTTGGGTTGTGAATGAGCTCTTTATTTGAACACTGGCAAATGTTTTCTTTGGGTTAAGGCATTCATTTTATCAGGTACCGAGGCCCTCAGTGCACATACAGAGCGTTTACACAAGGAAGGAGACTGGATAAGAAGGGCCTGTTCCTCACAGTCCCCAAGCCATCACTCAAAAGTGCCACATCACAGAAAGGCAGGGCGCATAGTGTGAGAGAGAAAGGGAAGGGGCAAAAGAGAAGGGCATAGCCCTCTGGAGAGAGGACAAGAGTAGGAAGGACGTCGCTGGGACTGGGAGACTCTGAGGCCATTTTCCAAGCGCACGTCCTGTCCTCTGGTTGAGGTGTCAACATGCAGTAGTCTGACTGGTCTCACCGAGACTTCTGAGCCCACATTTCCATCCCCTTGAAACTCAGGTTTCTACACTGAGCTGTTTGTTCATGGGCTTCTCTCACTGACTGAGTCAGGGAAGACTCACGGAAATTTTTACTACAGGCCGAGATGCAGTTCAGGGGTAGCGTGCATCAAGCCTTGGGTGTGAGCCCCGGAGCATATGGCAGACATACAGCAGACATGGCTGTGCAGACCTGTAATCCCAACACCCAGGGAATGGAGGCAGGAGATTCAGCTCAAGGTCATAAAAAGCATGAGACACTGTCTCAAGGGGGAAAAAAAGTAAGAAAAAGAAAAAGAGAGGAAGGAAGGAAGGAAGGAGGGAGGGAGGGAGGGAGGGAGGGAGGGAAGGAAGGAAGGAAGGAAGGAAGGAAGGAAGGAAGGAAGGAACTTTTATTACACTACCCTAAAGTCATTTTTCTAAACCCTCCTAACACAGAGGGAATAGAAGAGACCTGTGGTCATGGAGCATAGTTCATGAGCAGGGTAGACGAACAAGGAAACCCAGTGGATCATCAAAACTGTAATGACAACTAATCAATGTCAAGCCCAGTTTCGACTAGAACACAGGAAAAACAACTTACTTGCAAAAAAATAATAATAATAAACCGCATATGGGGTATACAACCCAAGGAAAAAAAGAGATGCTTTTCAGATGTTCCACAAGAATTTCGAGAAACACCGTCTTTGTATTTAGACAATTTGTGTGTGTGTGTGTGTGCACACGTGCATGTGTGCATGTGTGTGTGTGTGATATGTGATATGGTATATGTGTGGTCTATATGTGGTATGTGCCTGTGTGGTGTGTATGTGATATGTATATGTGTGTGGTGTGGATGTGATATGTGTGTATTGTGACGGATACATGTGTGTGTGGTGCATATGCATGTGGATGTGATAAGTATGTGGTGTGGGTATGTGAGGTGTGTGTATACGTGTTTATATTTGATGTGTGTGGTGTTTGTGAGGTATATGTGGTATGTGTAGTGTGTGTATGGCATGGGGGTGCAGTACGTATGTGAGGTATATGTGTGTGGTGTGTATGTATGTTTGTGTGAGTATGTGGTATCTATGTGCAGTGTCTCTGGTGTGTGTGTGTGTGTGTGTGTGTGTGTGTGTGTGTGTGCAGTGTGTGTATGTATATGTGGTAGGTATGTGGTTTGTATATGGGGAGCTATGGGGGTGTAGCGTGTATATGGATGTGTGGTCTATAGTGTGTGTGGTATGAGTATGTGGTGTGTATGTATGTGTGGTGTAAGAGTGTGGTATGTGCATGTGTAATGTGTGCGTGTTGTGTGTACATGGTATGTGTAGTTTACACACTGGAAACTGAACCCAGGACATCACATATGCCAAGGACATGTTCTGCCACCAAACTGTACCCCGGCCTCGAGAGAGTACATGCTGACCAGTTTCCACGCTCTGACAGTGGTGGTAAGAGCGTCTTTGTAGGATTAAGGGCATGGTGGGGAGAGTGCCTGCCCAAGGGCGTTGTCCGTCTGACGTAATCAGGCTCCTCATTCAGAAGTGGAAAGAATCTGACACTGTCGCTACTGTGTGGTATCATCTTCACACAGCTTTCCACTGAAAGGGGGAAAATGTTATTTTACTGGAATTACAGCCCAGGAGATGCTGGAGTAGAAAGAGCTCACTGTGGCCTGTATCCAAAGGGTGACAGCGGTTATCTCTGCCCACAACACCTACACTAATGCCATTGTTTCAGCTAAGGGGCAGCTCAGCTGTAAAGCGCTTCCCAGCAGACACAAGGCTCCAACCACTAAGTTAATAAATAGACAATAGAATATTATACAAAGCCAGTCATGCAGGCACACACTTGTAATCCTAGCCCTGGGAAGCTGGGGCAAAATAAGCACAGTATGTTCAAGGCCTGCCTCGACTGTGTGGCATGAGCCTGTCTCACAACAAGCAAGCAAAAGTGGGGTTTGGTTTTGTTGTTGTTTCGTGGCTTTTTGTTTTGCTTGCTTGCTTGCTTGCTTGCTTGCTTGCTTGGAGACAGGGTCTCACTTCGTAGCCCAGGTTAGACTGGAACTCACAGAAATCCATCTACCTCTGTCTCCCGAGAGCTGGGATTAAACTCATGCAGCCCCACACTCAGCAAGCAGGAGTGTTAATCCCAAGCACGGAATGAAACTATGGGACATGTAAGGCCGTTTGACATCAGCATGTTGCACCACAGAGGCACAGTACAGCATCCCTGAATTCAGCCATTCTTCCTTCTCTACCCTTCAGCATGCAGACGCCAGTAGATGGCGCCACAGATCACTTTTCTTGTCTTCCCGTTTTTCTGTGTATTAGCAATAAATATAAGTTCTGGTTTCTGTAACTTTGTAGCAGAATTAATAATCTTCACAGCCTTTGAAGAAGTAGGTTAATACATCCAGTTTTGAAATGATGATAAGTAAGAAGATGTGTGTGAGTATGTTTCTCTGCTAGCCATGGGGTTAACATTCCCGCACTCAACTCACAATTATGTGGGTTGGTTTTGCTGGTGAGCCTCATCTCCTCCCCTCTTTCCTGAATGAGTCTTGGGTCCCTCTGCTCCCCCATACAGCCAGTAGAATGCCCACATTCCCCTGCATGTCCTTCAGAGTAGATCCTGGCTTTGTTTCTTCCCTTTTTCTCCTTTTTTCTAAATTTCACTATTGCTAAAATATTAGCACAGAGCTACAAAACCTCACACTGAGATGTTTCCCCATTGCCATTTGTCCTTCCTCTATCCTGCATGTGGAGATACAGCTATTATAAAATCAGCTTCAGTCTGTCTGATCCTACTGAAGATCTGTGTTCACTTTAACAGGGGCAGTGAAATGACTCAGCGGGTAGAACACTCACAAGATTCATGACCTGAGTTGCTCCCTGGAACCCGTGGAAAGGCGAAGAGAGAAAAGACTCCACAAAGTTGTCCTGGGACCTCCCTACCTGTGCTGTGGCACATACATGTGTGTGTGCACACACACATATGCACATACACACACATATGCACACACACGCACACCACACACACACACACACACACACACATCACCACCACCACCATTCTGGGCCTTCTTTTTAAAAAAAAAAAGTTGGAATTTTGAGCATGGTGGCACACACCTTTAATCCCAGCACTTGGGAGGCAGAGGCAGGTGGATCTCTGTGAGTTCAAGGCCAGCCTGGTCTACAGAGCTAGTTACAGGACACACAAGGCTACACAGAGAAACCATGTCTAAAAAAGAAGGAGGAGGAGGAGGAACAAGAGGAGGAGGAGAAGGAGGAGGAGAAGGAGGAGGAGAAGGAGGAGGAGGAGGAAGAGAAGGAGGAGGAGAAGGAGGAGGAGGAGGAGGAGGAGGAGAGGAGGAGGAAGAGGAAGAGGAAGAGGAAGAAGAAGAAGAAGAAGAAGAAGAAGAAGAAGAAGAAGAAGAAGAAGAAGAAGCTGGAATTTTGTGTAGTGATCTCCTGCTCTCCATGTAGCTGCAGTGGGCCTTGAACTCCTATCTTCCTACATCTGCCTCTCAAATACTAGGATTATAGGCATATATCATGATACTGTCCTGTCTTATTTTAAAAATCATTTAAAAATTGCATTTATTTTAATTTTGTCCATATTTTCACTCCAGATTTTAAAAAGTGGGGAGGAGGGTGCTGGCATAGTGGTTCAATAATCCTAGCAGTAGGGAAACAGAGGTGAGGTAGATCTCTGTGAGTTCAGTTCAAGGTCAGCTTGATCTACAGAGCAGTTGAGGATAGTCGAGGCTGTGAAGTGAGACAGTATATGACAGAGAGAGAGAGAGAGCTGAGAGAGAGTGTGCTGAGAGAGAGAGAGAGAGAGAGAGACAGAGACAGAGAGATAGAGACAGAGAGACAGAGAAAGAGAGAAAGAGAGAGAGAGAGGAGAGAGAGATATTTTACTTTCCAGTCCACAATCTCATCTACAGAATATGTTGAGATCACCTGAATTCCACACTAAAAGGAACCTGAAGCCTTAGAGAAGAGACTAACAAATTCCTTTTTACACAGTAGATGAAACCTTTGAGTGGGTTCTGAAGGGAAGATGGGCCTCTCTTTCTCTAGGTGTCTTCAGAACTCCCCTAGACTCTTGGCAGTGTTTTAAACAGTTGGGATTTGTCTAAAAGATCTAAGAGGGACTGGAAATGTGGCTCAGAAGTTAAAAACACTTGCTGCTCTTCCCAAGAACACAAATCAGATCTTAGCACCCACTTCTCATGGGTGCCGGACTCCAGTTCCAGGAGATCCAACTTTCTCTTCTGACCTCCAAGGGCACCTTAATACATGCGGCTTACACACATAAATAATCAGATAGATGATAGATAGATAGATAGATAGATAGATAGATAGATAGATAGATAAAACAATTTTTATTGAAAAAAACAATAAAATATAATAGGGCAAGTGAGATGGCCCAGAGGGTAAAGGCACTGGCAACAGAAGGCTGACAGCTAGAGCTGAATCTCCACAACTGACGCCACGAAGTGGTCCCCTGATCTCCACGTACTTGCCACAGCACAGGCACTCACAGACACATCATCCACACATGCGATAGTAAATAATAAGAAGTGAGGTGGACCTTTTTTTACTAAGCTTCAAAATAAAAAGTCTTACAAAAATGTGTGATCATAGGCTTCAGATCCCTGTGTCCTTTTCCTATTTATGCAAAGCAAATTTGAGTTAATCATGCCAAATTAATATTTAAAAACATACACAAACACACCTTTTCTTTTTTAAAAGGTTTATTTGTTTTGATTTTATGTATATGAGTGTTTTGTCTTCATATATATATATGTGTGTTTGTGTGTATACCTTGTGAAAGCCTGGTGCCTGGAGAGGGCAGAAAAGGGTGTCATATCCCCTGGGGTGAAGTTCCAGACAGTTGTGAGCCACCATGTGGGGGCTAGGAACCAAATCCAGGTCCTCTATAAGAGAAGCAAGTGCTCCTAACCACTGAGCCATCTCTCCATCCCCGTATTCTTGGTTTTTGTTTGTATGCTTGCTTTTGGTTTGGGATAGATATGTTTTTTTATACAGAATTTTGGCTCTAGAGACTAGCCTGGTCTCAACTCACAATGATCCTACGCAGGCCACCCTAACACTAAAATGACAGCCGTGTATCACCACACCAAGCCACACTTCGTTTTCACCAAGGCCAATTAAATGGCTCTGGGTACATAGGTGCTTTGATAAGTTTAAGCATATGTGTTCGGTTCTAAAATAATAATTGCTGAGCAGTTCTCTGGACTACGGTGTCCCTAAGGCGATGTTTGTTTCCTACTGTAGGTGAAAACACCTTTGGGCTTCCATGGAGCTTCCATTCACCAACCTGGAGATGGCGTTCATTTTGCTGGCCTTCTTCATCTTTTCTTTGTTTTCTCTGGCTTCCATCTACACCAACCCTAATGAAAGAAATGAAGGTAAGACAGAAAAGAGAGGGAGAGCCCTTTACGGCCATTGTCTGTCTTTTCCTTCACAACCATCTTTCTCTGTGACTGGATTTGGTTTTGTTTCCACTCTGTGTGTGAGAATGAGTATGTTTGGTTTTATGGTTGGGGTGTGTGTGTGTGTGTGCATGTGAATTTATGTGTGCATGTGTGTGTGTATATGTGTGCATTTGTGTATATGTGTGCATGTGTGTTTATGTGTGCATGTGGGTGCAAGCATAGGCGTGTGTGTGCATGTTTGTTATGTGCTTTTATGTGTGTACATGTGTGTGTGTGTAAGTTTATATGTGTATATGTGTTTCTGTGTGTGCATGTGCATGTATGGGTATGTGTAAATTTGTATGTGTATGTGTGCATATGTGCATCTGTGTGCGTGTGTATGTATGCATATGTGTGAATTTGTGTGTGATTTTATGTGTGTGTCTGCGTGTGTCTGTGTGTGTGGTTTTATTTAAGTGTGTATGCTGGGAAGAAAAAGCATTCAAATTTTTTTTTTAATTCTCTTCAGCCTCGGGAATGTAGCTTAGTTGTGTCTGGGAGATAGCCAACTGCTGGAGGGATTGCCTACAGCACTGGAAGCCCTAAGAACCGCAGACACCAGATGTGGCAGCACATATCTGTAATCTATCACTCTGGAGGTGCAAGCAGGGGGATCAAGGGTTCAAGATCCAGCCTGGGACACAAGAAATTCTGTCTCAAAAATGAATTAGTTCTCATTAAGGCTCAAGAATACATAAAATGAAGATATAGTTTAAACCCCAATGCCATGTTTTTGCCAATAATAGCAGGTGTTGAAAAGGAGGCATATGAATATGTTAGCTGGTCCAGACGTCACCAAGATCCATGCAAAATAAATAATAACTCAGGGAACATTTTTGAGACCAAAAAGTTATACATGTATGTATAAATACATGCCAAAAACATTTTAGATATTTCTAGAGAATAAGATAAAATCATAAACAAGTTATGATTGTAGATGTTTGTTTGTTTTGAGTCAAGGTCTCACATGTAGCCTTGACTGTCCTGGAACTTACTATATAGACCAGGATGACTTTGAACCCACAGGGTTCTTTACCTCACCAGTACTGAGATTAAAGACATGTGCCAACTTGCCTGCCTGTGCTTACAGCAGTTTGATTTGTTTTGAATTTTTATTTTTTTATGTGTATGAATGTTTTGCCTGTATGTATGTGAATGTATGCATGTGAGCTTAGTACATGCCTGGTGTCTGAGAAGGTTCAAAGAGGCTCTGGACCCCTTGAACTGGGGTTACAGATGGTTCTTAGACCTTGAATGAGGGCTAGGAACTGAACCCGGGACATCCGCAGGAACAGCAAGCTCTCTAAAGCACTGAGCCGTCTCTCCTGCTCTTTCCCATTTGTGGATTTTAACCAAACTTTTTTTCATAGACTCTTGTCTGTGAGAAGTACTGTCTGTGAAATAGATGATGTCTCATAGACATGCAATGGTGAACAACGGATTAGAACACGAGGGTCCCACGAAATACATACCCAGCTTCCTGCCAAAATCTTCAGTGGGAATCCTAACTGGAGTCTGTAAAGCCTTGTTCTCGTTTCACAAATTGCTTGGATTGTATTTGTTTAAAATGGATTTGGCTGACAGAGTTAGGCCAAAGCAGCATTTACTTTAACTGGGTGATAATGTGTTTCCCTCATATGGTGGTGACTTTGGGACTGACATAGCCTTCCATCTTGTCTTGAACCAAGACTATGTCATTGCTTCCTTACCATCACTAACCTCCAGCTCCACATTATGGACCAATCCAGAAGACTGGAAATCAAATTTTTGGTCTCAATAGTCAAACACCTAGGCAAAATTGTGAGTCTGTATTTCCAAAGCAACAAAAGGTAAAACCAATAATGCCTTTTGTGTGTGTGTGTGTGACATTTAATTAATTAATTTTATTTACTTATTTATTAAGATGGGGTCTTACTATTATAGCCCTGATGGCCTGGAACTCACTACATGGACCAGATTAGTCTTTTGTTTTGTTTTTTTGGTGTTTAAGTTTTTCAAAACAGGGTTTCTCTGTGTAGGCCTGGCTGTCCTGGAACTCCCCCTCTAGATGAAGCTGGCCTCGAACTCACAGAGATCCACCTGCCTTTGACTCCTTAGTGCTGGGATTAAAGGTGTGTGCCACTACACCCTGCTTACTTATTATTTTCAAGATAATATTTAATACTTTGAAAATTTCATGCATATATCCAACACCTTTTCATCACTTCCCCTCCAACTTCCCATGGACGTCACTCCAACAGATTCTCTCCCACCGTCATGTCGTTTTTCTTTCATTTCGGAGCCACTGAGGCCAGTTACTACTGCTCATGTGTGCAAGGATATGGGCTCATCAGGTCATTCAGTGGAGCTTGATCAACTACCAGTGGCCATGCCCACATCCGGCAGCCACCAACTGTCAACAGTGTTTCAGCTAAGGGCGGGGCCTGAGGTGCCACAGCAAAACCCATCATTTTGTGTGCTAAATTTAAAAATTAATTTTTAAAAATACATTTTGAGGTAGATGGTGTAGAGTGTTCACCTAGGAAGCACAAGGTTCTAGACTAAATCTCCAGTACCACATAAACCAGGGGTATCTGTAGACACCAGTAATAACACTACATGGGAGACAAAGGCAGGAAGATCAGAGTTACCCAAAGCTTTATAAGGAGTTTACGGCCAGTGTTGGCTGAAGATCTTAGGTCAAAAACAACAAAAATAAATAAATAAAAAATAGAAAAGCAAACTAAGCTTCCTGTACAGAGTTATACATTTAATGACCATTTATCATCCAAGAAATTAGACACCCACTATGATCTCTAAGCCTAACGCAGGAGAGAAATGCTGATCACTACTCAGCTCTGTGCTTGAGGAAAACAGCTGCACCTCAGATACAGCCCCCACTCTTTTCTTTCCTGAAAACCCTGCCCCCGTGTCCCACAGCAGCACGGCTTTGTCAGGAAGAACTGTGTGTCCCCATTCTTAGAGAAGACTCACTGTCTTGGCTCTGGGCTGCAAGAGCCTCCTGAGGACCTCGAGTTTACCTGATACCAGCACAAGCAGGCCTCTCCACCTTGTCTCAAGCAGTTGGCACCGGCTCCACACACTCCAGCTCTTTGTCTTACAGTTGTTGCGACTGAGATTAGAACTGTTTGTCCCTCTGAAGCTAGCGGGAGATGAAGATAAATGCTTCTTGGGAGGCTGACTGAAGGGTCATTCTTGAGATGGCCATGGACCTAGGAGTCAGTCACTCATCTAGAACTCCGATACGTCTCTCCCTAACAGGCTCAGAGAAAACCACCTGCTGAAGTTGGGTGGCTTTGGATCTGGGGTGCTGCCCACATGGCATTTGGCTGGCTCGAGTCAATGTCTCTATTTGTTCTTTCATGTTTTTTCTCTTTTACCTCCCTTCTTTCTTTCACAAAAATACGGTATGGCTCCTCTTTATGATCCCCTCTAAATGGGCATGTTAGATCACATAGCTTCTTAGTTGGGTTACACGTATTGCATTTTTTGAGGAAAAGAGGTGAATGTTCAGTATAAGAATCTCACTACGAGGCCAGTGAGATGGGTAAAGGTTCCTGTCGTCAAGCCTGGGGACATGGGTTTGATTCCTGGGACTCACATAGTAGGAGAGAGCTGACCTCTGACCTATACATGTAGGCATGCCAGCTCATGTATGTGCGCTCTCTCTCTCTCTCTCTCTCTCTCTCTCTCTCTCTCTCTCTCTCCACACACACACACAATGTAAATTTAAAAAAGGGTGCCTTTAAAAAATCATAACTCAGTGAGAACAGAATACAGAATTTAGTGACGAAAGTCGACACTTGGATCCTTTCTGCTCATGATCCATGCGTAATCAGTGTCTGCTGCGAGAGAAAACAGATCATAAAACACGAGATGAAATGAAATTATTGAGCAGAAAAGACGACTTATCAGTTAGAGGCACTTGTTACCAAGATTGAAGACTAGAGTTCCAATCCCAGGGTCCTCATGCTGAAAAGACAGAATCAGCTCCTGCAAGTTGCTCTGTGACCACCACATGCATATGCCACACATGTGCTTCAGTAAATATAATAAAAATGTTTCAAATTAACCAGGTAGTGGTGGCACACGCCTTTCATCTCAGCACTCAGAGAAGCAGAGGCAGGCAGATCTTGGCGAGTTTCAGGCCAGCCTGCTCGACAGAGTGAGTTCCAGAACACTCAAAGCTGCACACAGACACGCTATCTTGAAAACAAAACAAAACAAACAAAACCAAAATAAAATTAAAGGCTTTATCTTCACTGAATCATTTCCTTGAAAAAAAATGTCAATAACAAACAAAACAGGTAAGGCAATATTTTACACAAAATAAGATAATTTTAAACTCTGTACATCACATAGAGTGTTCTATAATGTGCAGATTTGGTTGGTTTTAGTCTGTGCTCCAGGCAGCTCTTTAGAGTGCTATCCAGGACATAGGCGGTTCTGAAGGACCCATTATTGAATGTCATATTAGCGTGATGTAGTCTCTCTCTCATTCTCTACTTCTTCCCCCTAACCGCCATGATGCTTTACGTCTACTTAATCATCCCAGCCTGTCCAAATCTATGAAACAGACATTACAACTATATTACACCTAAAAATCCTCAAACATACCCACTGTAACCCTTTACATAAAATTCCACCCCCTGCAGGATGGTGGTGACGCATGCATTTAATCCAGCAGTCAGGAGGCAGAAGCAGGCAGATGTCTATGAGTTCGAGTCCAGCCTGGTCAACAGAGTGAGTTCCAGGACAGGCAGGGTGACACACACACACACAAAAAAAAAACCCTGTGGAAAAAAATAAATAAATAAGGATTCTATGCCTTTGTGAAGGAGCAGAAACTCCATTACAGGCTGGTGTGTACACAGAGTCGTAATCTAATATGACTCAGGCAGGTGGTTTGCCCTTGTCCCAGCTCTAGGGAGGTGAAGACAGGAGGATCAAGAGTTCAAGGCCAGCCTGGGCTCCATAAAACCTATCTCAGCAGAAGGGTGGGGCTGGAGAGATGGCTGTGTGGTTAAGAATACTCGCTGCTCTTACAAGAGGACCTAGGTTTGGTTCCCAATACCCAAGTGGTGACTCGCTATCACCTGTAACTCTAGCTCCAGAAAGCCTGACACTCTCTCCTGGACTCCTCAAGCACTAAGTACATACATAGTACATATACATACATACATACAGGAAAACACTCATAAATATAAAATAAAAACAGTAAACCTTTAAAAATAATAAGAGCTGTGTGTGGTGGTGTGTACCTTTAATCCCAGCAGTTGAGAGGCAAAGGCAATCGAATCTCTGAGTTCAAGACCAGCCTGATCTATAGAGCAAGGACAGCCAGGGCTACATAGAGAAACCCTGTCTCCAAAACTAATAATTATAATAATAAATAAAATCTTAAAAATACTCAGCTGAGTTTCTATAAACACCCCCCAGTAAACAGTAAACTCAGTGTCATACAGCGCATACTAAGTCAGAACAGTACGAATCTATATTGGTAGTTCTGAAGGATGGTTCTCAGTGTGTACTCAATTACCCATCAACAGCATCCACATTCCATGTGTCCATAAACCATATATTCTAATCTCGAACAAAATGTAACCAGCATGGATGTACTCACTTGGCAAAAGAAATTATGCAATGAATGCCGAAGCAGATGCAGACACGTGGATGCGGATGTAACTGAGTGATAAACTGTTCACCTAGTCTGTACGGGGCCCTGCGTTCTCACCCGCTACACCGTGAAAAGCGTTTATGCACAGACAGGCCTGTGCATTTCCTCCCTTAGTATTATCCAGACCACAGTGTCTTTTCCTTCAGTGGTAAAGAATCATGTCAGGCTGCTTCATGGTCCTTGGCTGTCTAAGCTGCTCACCGAAAAGCTGCAGCCTCGGTTTCGGAGAGACTGGGGTGATACCCAGTGTGTACTTTAGAGACTAGCTCGCAGTGTTGCAGGTAGGAGCCATTTCCTGCCTGAATTACACTGTCATCCACCTGCCTTTGAGAGCTGTCTTGTCTAATGACAGGAGGAAGTGATAAAATGCTAGAGAAGCCACAGGGAGTTATAAGGATGTTCTAGGTAAGCAATGATCCTTCATCAAAGGTGTGTGCACAGCCTCCTGGCAAACAGTGGCTGCCCAGATCCCCATGACAGACACTCCCTTCCAGGGTAGCCGTGGGAACTGCCAGGTGGAGTGCCTTTGAGACTTCATCTGCAGGCTCAGCTCACAGACCAAGCAGCAAAGCCAGAGCCTAAGGCTCATGGGTCACCAAGGCAGATCAGGAGAAAATTTAAATTATTGCAGAATTCTTTAGCTAGACTTGAAAGCCCTATATACATTAAGAATTCACCTAGTGTAGTGGTGCACATCTTTCATCCCAGCACTCGGGAGGAAGGGGCAGCCTGGTCTACGCAGAGTTCTAGGACAACCAGGGTTCTATAAAGAGATACTGCCTCTATAACAACAACAACAACAACAATAATATAAACTTATAGGGCTAGAGATATTGTTCAAAGGACCCTGGTTGGATGCCAAGTGCCAACAAGGCAGCTCACAACTCCAGTTCCACAGGACCCAGTGCCCTCTCTGGTCTCCACAAACACCAGGCATTTACATGATATGCACACTACATGCAGGAAAACACTCATATGTATAAAATAAATAAATAAAATAATTTTTTAAAGAATTAATCTATAGGGCTAGGGAGATGGCTCAGTAGTTAAGAGCACTGCAGACCGCTTTTCCAGAGGACCTGAGTTCAGTTCCCAGTGCTCCCTTCAGGCAGCTCACAAACTACCTGTAAAGCCAGCTCCAGAGGTACCTGACGCCTGTGGCACTCACTTACACACATAACACACACACACACACACGCATGCACGCACGCACGCACGCACTAAAAACAGAGCTTTACAAAAAGGAATTTATTTCTAATCCTTGGTGAGAGTATACTCCTGTAGCTACCGTGTTTGAGAGATAGAGGCAGTAAAATCATGAGTTCAAGACCAACCTACGCTTCAATATAAGGGGCTTGAGGAGACTGATCAAGTTACTTAGATGCTTCAACTGCTGTTGTCCAGCTGTACCAGTGTGACCAGAAAAACCATTGCAGCACTTTCTAACTAAAAGGACTAGATGGATGGATGGCAGGAAATAGATCAGGGTGGGTCAGGCCCCCGTCCTTCCCATGCACACTGCATGACTTGAGTAAATCCTGTAAGTGTCGTGAGGCTGCCCGTCTTCATGTGTAAGTTAGTGGAGAGAGAGAGTACCCACATGGAGCTGCTGTGGGAGCTGAAATGTGACAGGTAATATGTGATCAGGGGTTTAAAAGCCAACACTTCCTTTGTCAAGTTGCCTCACTTGAGGGCTGTTCTTGCTCAGGTCCTCTAGTTGTCTGTGATCTTTCCTGTGGCGTGCTCTTGTCGGTATCTCTGTGACTGTGTTAAAGTGTCTGTGGCCTCTTGAGATGATTGATGTCTTTGGTGTTCTCAACTGAACTCTCTTCGGGCATTTATCTTACACACACACACTTAACCAACTGCAAACAAGTTGAGTTGGTTGAAATGAATTTCACGTCTGTAGTAGTTTTTCTAAAGCATTATTGGTTTGGTTTTGTTAGGTTGGGGGTTGGGGTTTTTTGCAGAGGTTTAGGAGGCATTGTTGTTTTAAAGGGGAGTATGATGTTTAGTTTTGGTTTAATGGCGACTTTTGTGACACCAAATACAGCATGATGACAAGAAATATTCATTGAGAACCTGCTCGTAGATATGATGGCTCAATATTAGTTGAGAACCTGTCATAGATATTATAGCTCTTCCAAAGAAATGATACTTACTTTGTCCTGGAAGGACTGGCTAATCAACACCCCCCAAAAAATGCTCTAAAAAACACACTTATGAATTCTAGAATCTGTGTGGCTATATCCTTAAAGGAATATTGACAAAGACAAAGCATTGAACAACCAACAAATGTTCCGCCACGCTAGAACAGGTTCAGGCTATCTCCTTACAAGTCCTATAAATGCCTGCATAGATATTTCCACTCAACAGCTGGTCACCGGGTCCCTCTGTTGACTGATGGGTTCACTGCCCTGACCACAAGCTTTTAAATATTCATGAGGCAAAATCCCCGCACATTCCAGTGACTAAATCATCTCTCACTGTTTATCTGATGCTAAGCATTCACATTAACCTCGCAGAAGGATAGAGTTTACGCCCCTTGCGCCATGCATCACATCGTCCTCCCTAGCCTCCAGGCCCTCTGACGGTCAGCACTGAAGACTACCATATACATTGCACTGAAGCAGAGGTCAATTTTGTTTTGTTTTGTTTTGTTTGAGACATGGTCTCATTGTGTAGCTCTGACTGGCCTGGAACTCACTAAGTAGACCAGGTTGGCCTCCAGCTCACAGAGGCTTCTGCTTCCCCGAGTATTAAGATTAAAAGTGTGCACCATATGTGACCCTGATCAATGTCTACAGATGGATTCTGAAAGGTGCCCCGTAGTCAACAGTCATTTCTTGTGCATTTTGTCATCACTGATAAGTGAAGAATCAGTAAGAAACTGCACACCAGGTACGGTGGTGCACACCAGGTACAGTGGTGCGCACCTTTAATCTAAAGAAGGAAAGGAAGAAGGGAGAGAGGAGGGTGGGGGAGAAGGAAGAGAAGGAAAAAAGAGAAACCTTGCAAAATATTTCTGTCTACATTTGTTTCTAGTTATTTTGGTGGTCATGGTAACAATTCAATAATAGTTGAATAATAATTAGTTTATGGCATCAAAAATTTTAAATTGAATTCAACTCCATGTCCATTTTTGTAAAGAAGGGGAGGGTGTTAGCTGAGTTGGGGGTATTTTGGGTTTTTTTCCTTCTTTTTTTTTCTTCAAGATTTATTTATTATGTGTAAAACATTATGCCTCCATGTATGCCCGCACACCAGAAGAGGGCGCCAGATCTCATTACTGATGGTTGTGAGCCACCATGTGGTTGCTGGGAATTGAACTCAGGACCTCTGGAAGAGCAGCCAGTGCTCCTAACTGAGCTATCTCTCCGGCCCCCAGGGGGTATTTTGTTTAGTTGAGACAGGTCTCTTTATGTAATCCTGACTGGTCTAGAATTCTCTATGTGGACCAGGCTAGCCTCAAACTCTCAGAAATCCACATACTTCTGCCTCCCTAATACTAGGGTTAAAGGTGTGCACCTATGTGTGCATGTTTGTCCAACAATCTAGTTCTGTTATTTTTTAATATTTTTAGATTTTTTAATTATAAGTGTGTGTGTGCACGAACATGTGTGCAAGTGCCTACTGAGGCCAGAAGAAGGCACTGGATGCCCTGGCACCAGTGTTACAGGTGCTGTCAGCAGCCTGCTGAGTTCTGAGAACTGAATTACAGTCCTCTTCAAGAGCAACAACTTTTAACCACCAAGCCGTCTCACCATCTCTTTCTCTGTTCTGAAGGAAAAGACAAAATGGAAATGTGTGGTTGAGAGGGCATGCTTGGGTGGAGAGGTGGCTCCGCCATTGAGAGCACTTGCTGCTCTTACACAGCACCACGTTCAGTTTCCAGCACCCCCATGGCAGTTCCCAACCGCCCGTGACTCCAGCGCTGGGGTACCTGATGCCCTCTTCTGGCCTCCATGGACTCCTGTGCACACACACATGCAGTGCACATAAACTCAGACACACACACATACTCATAAAAATAACTAAAATGTTTAAATAAAGAAACCATTTTAAAAAGAAGACATATACTGCCAAACACAACAATATTTGTATGTTGTGTATATACATATATATGGGGGTTTTTAGATTCATTTATTTTGTGTGTATGGGAATTTTGTCTGAATGTGTATGGGTGTGTTCACAGATCAATTTATCAATCAGTTCTAGACAAATAGAAACACATGGGATGGGTAACTCTGGAGACAGGAAGTAGGAGAGGAAGCTTAAACCCTTCTGAAGTGGTTGACAAATAAGCACTTTCCCATCAAGATGCTATGCTTTCCCTGCACGTTCAATAGTAACACACACAATGTTACAGAAGGTTAGAGTCTGTGCCCATCGTAGCAGGGAGAATGGCAGCAGGCAGGCAGGCGGGCATGGTGCTGAAGCAGAAGCTGAGAGCTTACATCCGTGTCTGCAAACAGGGGGGAAAGAAAGAGAGATAACTGGGAGTGGCCTGAGCATCTGAAACCCCAAAGCCCAGCCCCAGTGACACACCTCCTCCAGCAAAGCCACACCTTCTAATCCCTTCCCAAAGGGTTCTACCAACAGGGGACCAAGTACTCAAACATGTAAGCCTATGGTGGCCATTCATCATTCAAAACCTCACAGGGAGGAGGATCCCCGTGTCCTTCCTCATCTAGTGACAGCCAAGGAAAATTAATGAGAGTGAGCAGAGGAAACATTTTTTAATTCAAGATTCACTTATTTTTATTTTATTTATATGAGAGTCTTGCCAGCATATGTGTATGTGCACAGTGTGCTTGTCTGATGTCCCGGGAAGCCCAAAGATGGCATCAGATCCCATGGAACTGGAGTGACAGATGGTTGTGAGCTGCCATGTGGCTGCTGGGAACCAAACCTGGGGCATCTTTAAGAACAGCAAGTGCTCTTAGCCACTGAGCCGTGTCTCTAGACCACACATAATTGTATATTCACATTCAGGGACCAGTGAACAAAGACGGATGCAAGCTTACTCTACCTGGGACTACTGAGGACAGGGAACAGGAAAAACCAAAGGACCCAGGAAGGGTAAAGGAGTCTGATTGACTGAAGCCCCTTATCAGCAGAGGAGCAGGAATTCCTATATGTAGTAATAGGAGTAGCGGGGCTGCGTCCCCAGCACCCCGGGCGCCTGGCTAGCTTATCCCCGAAATAACAACACACAAATTGTGTTCATTTAAACACTGCTTGGCCCATTAGCTCTAGCCCTTACTGGCTAATTCTGATATCCCGATCAACCCATCTCTAATAAACTTGTGTAGTACTGGTCTTACCGGGAAGGATTCAGCATGTCTGACCTGGCGGCTTGCTCCATCGTGTCTGCTTCAGAGAGCAGAGCTATCGCGTGTACCCGGGAGAGGGGAGCATGGCGTCTCTGAGCTCACTTCCTCTTCCTCCCAGCATTCTGTTCTGTTTACTCCTCCCACCTATGTTTTAACCTATCAGGGCCAAGCAGTTTCTTTATTGCTTAACCAATGAAATCAACAGATTGATATATGACACTCCCACATCACCTATATAACTAACATTCGCTGTGAGGACTGTCTACAGGGACGCAAGGCTTTCTTTTTATGGAGAAGACTATCACCTTAGCAATGAACCACCCTCAGCCTGATAGCCTCACTCATTTTCCAGACATTTCCTTGGAATCTCACAAACAAGACTTACTTCACCCTGATTTACAGTTAAAAGCGTCTTAACTTTTCCTCAGCCCTGTTGATCTAGAATTTTACCTTATCAGCTCTAATCCTATCCAATGCGTAGGAGCCACTCTGTGGCTGCATTTAGATCCCTTAGCAACCCTTGTATCTTCAAAAGCCATCAAAAGCCAGAGCATATGGCTAATAAAGACATCGCAACATGATTCACCTTCCAGAGGCCAACATCTACATTCTCCAGGGTCCCCTTTGTTCCTGAGCACCCCTCCTTTCTTTCCATCTTTGTGATTAGAATCTATTTTTTCAAATATCTTGTCCTGTGTGTGTGATTGTGTGTGTCTCTCTGTGTGTGTGTAAGTGTGTGTAAGAGACAGAGACCTAGACAGAGAGACAAGATAAATGTGAACATGAGTGTACACTGGTGTGGGTTTGTGTGTTCTGTGTCACACGTGGGAAAGGACACAGCTTCTTAACCCAATCTAGCAGGCCAAGAACTTCTGGAGGGTCTCCTGTCTTTGCTTCCCGTTTCCAGTAGGCACCCTAAGGCTCCAGATGTGTGACTGATGTTTCTATGTAGGCTCTAGGGATCTGAGCTCAGGCTGTCAGGCTCATGCAGTGATCACTTTTATATTTAGCCATCTCCTCAACCCCTACATAAGAAATTTGAGGCCAGCTTTCTACACATAAGGCCTTATCTCAGAAGAAAAAGAAGGGATGGGGGATGGAAAGATGACTCAGTAGTTAAGAGCAGTTACTACTACTTCAGAATAGACAGGTTTGGTTTCCAGCACCCATGTTGGAGATCACAACCATCTGGAACTCCCATTCCTGTGGGTCCAGTGCCTCCTTCTAACCTCCGCAGGCACTGCATGCACTCGGGGCATATGAACTCATGTAGGCACACACATGTACACATAAAAGTCAAAAATTTAAATACCTTGTAGTTATGCTTGTGTACGTAAGGCATATATACATGTGCATGCGTATAGAGGCCATAGGTCAACTTGGGTGTCTTTCTCAGTCACCCCACCTTGGTTTGTTTGGTTTGCTTGTTTAATTTAATTTTATGTATATAGATATTTTGTTTTCATGTACATCTGCACACCAGAAGAGGGTGTTGGATCCTGTAAGACTAGAGTTTTAGACAGTTGGAAGCCGCCATGTGGGTGCTGGGACTTGAAGTCTGGATCACAGCTCTCCATCCCTTCCACTTTTTTTTTTAAGACAGGGTCTTCCACTTTACCCAGAGTTGGTTTCTCTGCTCTCTGCCTCCTGCCTCTGCTTCCCCAGCATTGGGATTAGTAGCATGTACTGCCATGCCTGGCCTTTTTACTCAGAATCTAGAAGTTAAACTCAAGTCCTGAGGTTTACCCAACAAACAGTTTGTCAGAGGAGCCTCTCCCTGGCCCCAAAACTGTCCTCTAATAGGGTCAAACTGAATCCTAATGGCTTCTCCTGAAGTTCTTTTCTAGGGCAAAGGTAAGAATTCAGCTTTACCTGAGTGGAGACGCCTAAAAGATAAGGAAACTTCTCAGCAGGTGAACAGGGTTGGAATAGTGTCCTTGCCCCAGGGCTGCTAACATTTTCCGTAACAAACATTTCATGAATAAAAAGTAGACTCCTGCTCCAGACAAAACAAAATACAAAATGAGGGAGAAGGGAAGGTACAGTGAAAACCCAGGAATGTGTGCAGTGTGTGAGAGAGGAGGGTGGGGAGCCCAAAGTGAAGAGCATTATTTTCAGGGGAAGCTTCTTCATCTTGTCTCGCTTCATTACATTTTAGTGTGTGTGTGTGTGTGTGTGTGTGTGCGTGTGCGTGTGTGTGTGTGTGTGTGTGTGTAGGTGAGAGTGCCAAGCACACCTTGGAGGTGAAAGGACAGCTTTTGAGAGTCTGTTTGCTGTTTGCTCCTTCCATATGAGACCAAACATTGAACTCAGACTGCCAAGCTGGGCAGCAAATGCCTTTACCCACTGAGCCGTCACACCAGCCCCAAAATTCTCTACCGCAATGTGGCATTTCGAATGAACTAAGGTTTGGTTGAATGTAAATTAAATGTCTTCAACAGCAGAGAAAAATCATCCCTAGGAAAAGGACAATTATGATCTTCAAGACGTAGGTGAGACCTGTGCCTTCTCCATCGGAATGAGAAGCAGGCTTGGGTTCCTGTCTCCCAAGCTGTTTCCATACCGTGAAGTCACTGTTGTCTTATACTGTGAAGTGACTGTCTTCTGTGCGGGCCTTGTAGCACAACTCTGCAG